CTATCAACGATTAACCATCGGTTCGTTGATCATTTCTAGTAGTAATTAATATATGAAACAAAACTAGTTGATCCTTTAAGTAATGTTCAAAATATTAATATGAAATATGAATAGGAATTAATTAATACTCAAGGAAGAATATTAAAGGGAATGAATCCTACTATAGTTAAATATCAAGATGTTAACTAATTGTCATCTTAGTAACACTCCCCGATATTAACATAGAGGAAGGAATAGCTATTACTAAAATCAATGTCAAGATGTTAACTAATTGTCATCTTAGTAACACTCCCCAACATTGATATAGAAATAGTATTTAAAGGAAGAATTAATATTCAAGGAAAAGAAGTTAAGAAAATAACTCACAACTTTAATAATCAACAAGCTTCAAGAGCAATACCAAGAAATGGAAGTTTAGCTCCTCATTTGGAGACTAAACATGCTAAAAGAAATATAGAGAAATTCTATTCTAAACTGAGCTTAAGAGTATAAAGGAATTGGTTTTTATTGTGAAGGAAAGAGGGTGTATTTATAGGCTTTTGGGATGGGACTCGAGTACTCGATCGAGTATACACATAGTACCCGATCGAGTATGTGTGAAATGCCAGATTCGAGGTATACTCGATCGATTTTGGTTTAAAAATCAAAGGTGTACTCGATCGAGTATATATTCATACTCGGTCGAGTATGTGTAGAAAGTGATATTCGAGCCATACTCGACCGATTTCGGGTTTAAACTCAAAGGCATACTCGATCGGGTATGTCGGTCTACCCGATCGAGTATAGACACTGAATCGTGGTCAAAATCTTCCCGGCATGTTCCTTTGTCTTCGGATCCGATCTGATTTGAAGTTTCAACCTTATACCCGATCGAGTATAGGTAATACTCGACCGAGTATAGGCAAAAATCAGGATTTTCCCTTTTTGTCTTGTGATTTGCACCTTCTTTCCACTTTTGGGGTTCACCAACCATCCTTTGAGTGATAGTAGACCTGTTTGAGCTCAGAATAATCCTAATCTAAACAATTTACAAGGATTTAACAAACTAAACTATTACACCAAAAGTGTGTAATTTCCGAAATATTAAACAACCAAAACTAGCTAAAAACATAAACATACACACGGAAATTACAAGTGTATCAGAGGTGTAGTCCAGCTGTCACACCTGCTGAGACCAATCTAAAGCTTGGAAAGAGTGTTGAAGAGAAGGAGGTGGATCCAACTCCTTACAAGCAAATGATTGGAAGTCTCATATTTTTATGTCATTGCAGACCTGATTTGAGCTATAGTGTGGGGCTTCTAAGCAGGTTCATGGTTAAACCAAAGTCATCACACTTTAATGCAGCCAAGAGAGTGTTGAGATATGTGAAAGGCACAACAGACTATGGTGTATTACCGCCAAGGGTGAGTCAGGTGAAGGATGATAAGCTTCTTGGGTATTCTGACTTAGACCGGAATAGAGATCTTGATGAGAGGAAGAACACATATGGATATGTATTCACAGTTGGTATGGCTCCTATATCATGGTGTTCTAAGAAAAGTGACATTGTTTCACTTTCTACTTGTGAAGCTGAATACATCTCAGCCTGTTATGCATCATGTCAGGCCCTAAGGCTGAGATCATATTGTTAAATGAAGTGAAATTAAGAGATATGGCATCAGTTGATCTATTGATTGATAATAAGTCAGCTATCAGTCTGGCTAAGAATCCAGTTGCACACGGGAAGAGCAAACACATAGACACAAAGTATCATTTTCTGAGAGAAAATGCCAACAAAGGGAAGATCAAGGTGTGATACTGCAAAACTGAAGTTTAATTAGCTGATATTCTTACGAAATCACTTCCTCCACAAAGATTCATTGCGCTCAGGAAACAATTGAATATATTTTCAGTTTCTTTGTTTCAGGGAGCATAGTTATGTGTGTAGCTTGTAATCTGTTTTGATTGTTATGCAGAATTAAGGGAGCATGTTGGATAGTTGATAATTCTGCATTATTCTTGTTTGGGCCTTGTTGTTGTTTTACAGCCCATTTAATAAGTGGACTTAGGTCCATATATGTGTGTGTTTGTTATTTGTTGTAAAGACTGTTATAAGGAGTAGTTGATCAATAACAGTTAGACGGTTGCCTCATTTTTCATATCTATTCTCTGCGTTCATTCTGTTGTGCTCCAAGACACAGTAGCTGTCATGGACACGGTTCACTCTTCATTGTCATCACTATCTTTCTTTTCTTTGCACCTTCTTCTACAGCTACAAATTCAAATATAATATATGTTGATGAGAGCTCGTAGGTTCTTCATATATTTATGGGCGTAGAAAAAGGCCCTTATACATCTATGTGTACGAAGTTAGGCTCACAAAGCTGGCCAAGCTCATTTCTCTAACCCTCGATCAGGGTCCAACCTTAGCCCTTGATAGTCGAACATCGCCTGATTCATGGCCCTAGCTATGCCACATCTTTCGCCCAAGACTACACAATTCTCGCACGACATGGGACAAGCATTGGTATGAATTGACAATGAAGAAAAGAATCACTCATTAGAAGAGGCTTCTCGCCAAGGAAAGGACATGCATCACACATGTGAATAACTCGAGCCATGTGTCATGCATATCAATAGTTCTGAACATGGGTTATTCAAGGAAGAATCAAGTTTTATCACGTGTGCCCAAAATTCATTTGATTGGAGAGTTGTAAGAAGCAAAATCTAATTGATAAAATCAAATATTGTACAATTTATCTCTCTAACTTTCACTTTTAACTTTCTACGCCTAGAGTTCTAATAAGTCAATAACCCTTCATTGCATCTTATTGTCAACATAATAATATAATTTTTTTATAAGGCTAGAGCTACATTATCTTTTCATTCTTTCAGATACATTATATTCATAGATGACAGATATTTATTGGATATTGAAAATTTTGATAATAACTATTCTACATTCAATATAGAAAAAAAGGATCAAATAAGTTTTTCTATTATTTTCAGTCCATCACTTACGTCCATATCCTAAAAAGGTACTCCCTCCGTCCCTTAAAACTTTGCCATCTTTCCTTTTTGGGACGTCCCAAAAAACTTTGCCACTTTCCCTTTTAATCAATTATTTTGTGGTTTCTATTATTTCTCTCTCCTCTGTACAAATCTCAACCACATAGTTTTTACTTTACAATTCTCCGTGCCGGTCAACTTTGGCAAAGTTTTAAGGGACGGAGGTAGTATCATACAAGCACACTTACTTTAAAAATGGTCAATCTAACCATTTAATCATATATAAGCACACCTTCTTTAAAAATTATCATATAAGCATGTTTACTTTAAAAATGATCAATCTCATCATTTAATCAGTTTTTGACCTATTATAGCAAGTTTTTTAATATCCAAAACTTTAAAAAATCCTTAAATTTTGAAAAAAAAAATAGAGAAAAATTGTGAAAAATTTCATAATGACAAAGTCAATATTTTTAAATTTTGAAATTATTTGTATATTCTACCTCTATTTAAAAGGGTTTTTACATTTTATATTTTTTAAATGTTCACTTTGTTTTTTCATTATTCTGATTTTTTACCGTTTTTAAATTATTTATCTATTTTAAATTTATACTATTTTATATTATTATTACATTATTTTTCAAATTTTTATAAAATTTTATACGATTTATTAATAGTCTTAATTGATTTTTTAAAAAATGACCCGCTATAACAGGTCAAAATGGCTTGATTAATTGTATTTTAAAAGTGAGTTTAATTATGTTATTTATTTTTTAGTTGAATGACTTAAGTCATAGATTAGAAGTGATAGAAGGGTCTATTTGACCATTTTCCCTTCATTAAATGGATGACACATAAAAATATACAAAAAATACGTAGGAAAAATGTAACCTAGTCTTAAAATGTAAACTATTGTTATAGACAGTGTAATTTTACTAGATTGTAATATCACATTGCCGTGACAATTTATTACAACAGAATAAGAGTATTTTTGTGATGCTTTTGTGTTGTTGCTAGGGTCTTATTGAGATTTGAGATTTCCACATTCCGACGGTGACATGATTTATTTTAAAAATAAATACATACAGAGTATATATCATCAAAATAATTATATATAATAAAATGTGATTTCCTAAGTGAAATGATTATACTAATAATGTATTCATAGTAAAATTATGTTTAATTTTTCACTTGATTGACTAAGATTGTACTACAGTAACTATTGAGTAATTAAGTTTTTGTAATTAAGTTTCATTTGACTAAAATAATTAATGATAACGAGTAATATGTTTGTTTCCACTATAGTAACAATTGATCATATTTTTGTAATTAAGTTTCATTTGAGTAATATTTTTAAGAAAACTATATTTTAATATCTTCGTTTGCACTACAAATGAAAACGAGTTTTGTAATTAAACTTGGGTATGAACCGTATGATAAAGGATGTTTTCTTTTGGACAGAAATTTGTTGGTCTGATCTGGTCTGGTCTGGTAAACGTCTGGTCTCTGTGTATTTTATAACTACGGAAGTCAAGTCTGGTCTGGTCTGGTCTGATCTGGTCTGATCTAGTCTGAGACTAAAAACAATCCAAAAGAAAACATCCAAAATAAAAATAAAATTATGAATCATATGACTAAAATAATTAATGATGGTTCTACGAAAATAATACTCCGTAATAATTAATTTAATGATGGTGGACAAAATGCTATATCCTCAATGTACGGATGTACCCAATAACTCTTACTGGGTTATATTACAGAGTGACAACTTCGGTACCTTTCTAAAAAATGGGGTACCGTACCTACCACTCATTTGATTGGATCACATCACTTTATCATTTTTAATTTAAATTTAAATAATTCAACTGCTACATTCTCATTGGTCCATGTGGACAAATGTATGGTAGTTATGTGTACCATAAAATTAAAATCTACCATATTACAGAGTAATATTTAAGTGATTATGAATTTTGTGATTAGACTCAATTGCATTTCACCACTAAGCCGCACATTGAAAAAACTGAGCATGATTTCATTATCAACTCTACTGACATATCCCTGATATCCGCCATAAATAATTCAATCTATGAAAGAGTTTAGAAAATACCTAAACAGAATTCTTATTTGATGGTCCAAATCCGATCCATGTACTCATGATCATTACATTATTAATCCGTAAAATAATTTAATAAATCTAAATAAATAATGTACATACCTCGAATGTGAAATGAAAATTATATGTATATACATAAATTAAAAATAAAGCACCAGCTTCCTTATAACCGATGGCCCGTAGTAGTCAAAACCCAAACCAAATAAGCCCTCCTTGAAACTAAACTAGCTGCCCGCCGGCCGCCGGATGACCTGATCAAGGCCCCGCCGGAGCTAGGCCTAGTTGCAGATCCAACCCGAACCCATCGTCAAAGTTGGCTCCGCCACCGCCGTCTCTCGAAAACCTACTCAACGACGGCCCATCATGAATCCTATCGGTCTGATGATGAACAACAGATTGGCGGCCCAAACTCGTGACGCTCGATTCCGCCATCCCGCCGGAGGAATAAGATAAGTTGGCCGCCGTCCTACCGTTCGCCACCGCCGCGGGAGACGTGGGAATCACACACGACCCGTGCGACACGTGGAAGGGAGGCGGGGCGCGTGCGACGTACATCCACGTGGGAGGCGATGAGGCGGGGACGATGACGGATCCGGGCGGAGCCAGGAGGTGCGGCGGCGGGGAGAAGGCGGCGGACATCATCGGATTCCGAATGTAGGAGAGAGTGGCGGCGTTCCGGCTGGCCTGCATCTGGGCGCGCTTCAGCTGCTGCCTCTCTTTCTTGTGAGCGTTCTGGTGGCCGCCGAGGGCCTGAGAGTTCGCGAATTCCCGGCAGCAGTACTGGCACTCGTATTTCCGGCCGTCGGAAGACGGAAAACCGCCAGGTTCCGGAGACCCGGATTCCGTTTTAGTCGACGACGACTCCGCGTCTTCGTAATCTTCTGTCACGTTGAACCCGAACAGCTTCAGCCGCCCATTATTATTTTGGGCGGCTGCGGGCTTGGTAAAAGCTTTAGAGTACTGATGATCAAGTTCTGCCATCTGCTATATATAATAAGATGATTATATATATAGATATAAATATGGCATATATTATGTAACCTGATGAAGGTGTAAGTGTTAATATGGTTCTTCTATATTTGTATGTGGTTGGAGTAGGTGGATTGCAAGGGAGACAGAAATGATGAGACAGAAATGTAATATGGAGAAGCAAGGAAAGGGTAATGAAATTCAACTTAGTGGTTGCATGTGTGGGGCTATATATACATGTTTTAAGAGGTTTGGAATCTAGCTGTATCTAATAGGGAAAAGAAAAAATGGACAATAGGTTGAATTATAGAAAAATATATCTGAAATATATTTTATTAATAAAAACAACAAAACAACAATTATATGTGAAGTAGCTAAAGTGATTCTTAAAAGTAAATTCAGAAATAAAAATAACTCCAACCATACTTATTTTAATTACGATACAATTTAGCGTGTGAAATAAAAAGTACGTAGTAACATGTTTGACAAAAATTAACTGAAAGATCCGATTGACTGAAATATAGAAGTTATCAAATGAGTTCTTAATTTTTTAGTATTTCCGAATATACTTAACCCCCTTATCTGCCATTTTTTATTAAATGTTTAATTTTTGATTTTATATTCTCAATTATGTAATAATAAAATTGAATAATATTGAAGTTAATGTTTCGTAATTATCGCCTAAGTTCTTGAACTATTTCGAATGTACTTAACCCCCTCAATGTAATACTAGTAACTATTTTAACTATTAAAGCTCTTTTATGAGTGAAAAGTCAAATTTAAGATGGATGTTGATGGAATAAGTACTTCTATGCTATGACAAAGAAGAAGTGGAAAGAATGGGCCCCCTTACAACCTCTAAGTAGGAAGTTTCCCGCGAACATGGGATTGGGATTTTTTGAGGGAAAAAGTTACTCTCCCTTCTTCAAAAAAAAAAGTTACTCTCCCTTAATTATCTTCAAATTTTCATTTTTCGTCCGTCTCGAAATTATCTCATCTTTTCCTTTTTGACAAAAAATTTGTGGTTCACAACAATTCTTATACATTTCTCTCTCATCTGCACAATTCTCCACCACACAAAACTCACTATCTTAATCCCCGTGTCGGGTCAAAAGGTGAGATAAAACAGGGACGGAGAGAGTATTATTGATGTACGAAGTATTTATATTTTTATACCTACACTAAACAATTCACAACTATCTTTAATTCATAAACAATTTTTAAAAAAACTACTCCATAACGTTTTGACTTTTGAGGAGAAAACATAATAGAATAGTACTCCGTATAATATTGCTTATGATTTATAAGTTATAGGATATCCATTTTCATTAAACAACTATCTTCATTTGATCATATAATTGTATATACATAAAACAATATCTACAATAATTCTATAAACACCAATTCTACCGTTCTAAGATAGTGTTCACATTGAAATAATGTGTCAAACCTTATTGAACAAACATTATTTACTGAAGGAGTATATATGTTATTGATATTATACTTTGGAGTATGTTTTTAATTGGATTATATTCTGTATCAAACCAGATCCGATTAAATCAACTAGAATTCCAAAATTATATACAAATTAGTAAATTTGATCAATATCCCTAATCTCTTTGAGTTTTTCCTTTTCAATATCCTTACTCTAATTTCTCTTCTCTAACCTCATTTTATTAATTATAAATACCTTCAAAAAAATCATCAAAAAGGTACCATAGAGAAACTACCTTCAATAGAAAATAGAATAAAAGGAGGAAAAAATAATAAAATTGCACGTGGTGGCAAGTCGCTTTAGTTCGGACCAAATTATGAAAAATGGGCCATAAGACTTTTTTTCCTTTTCACACTCCCCTTTTAAACCAATTCGGTAAATTGAACCAAAAAAATACTAGGATATAAATCAATCCACTTTAACGAAAAATTATTAGTCCAAATTGGTTACTTTTTTACATAAGGTATTGCTTCAAATAATTTATCTGATTCTGATTTGATCACGAGCATAAAAAGTCTAGCCTTGAGTGGTTCTGAGTTTTGTCAAAATGCACTCGCATGATTAGCTACATTGTTGTTGAGTGAGAGGTTAGTGCCATGTTTAATTCAGAGTTAATTACAAAACAACTTTCTAAATTTCGGTAAGTCTTTGTTTAATTTAATTCTAACTACAATAATATGTGTTTTATGTTAAATATTAACATTCTTGATTAATTTAGGATTACAATCGAGTTTATGACATTCTCTGTGAGAGAGTCATAACAATACCATTAAGCCACAAAATAATTAACATATTTTGGAAGTCTAAAAACTATACTCTAGCAATAGAAACTATACTTCCTCCGTTCTTAAGTAAGTGCAATGGTCAACTTTTCAAAAATATATATATAATAAAAAAATTAAAAAATATATATATATAATTTTGTATTAGTAAAAAAATTAAAAAAAAACATATTTTGAAAATTTACAATGAGACAAATTTAATAATTTTTTTCAAAAAAATTTATTAAGACATTAATAAATAAAACGTAGTTAAAGTAGAACATGTGAATAATGTAAAATTCAACATGTTGTACTTATTTAAGAATGATGTAATATATATTTAAAAGTCAAGAGAAAATATATGTTGTAATGAAATAATTAAGGAGCAAAAGATGGACGACCAAATGTGATCCATAAATAAAATGATAAAGCAATTAATGCATTCACATGATGACATGAAATACTCATATGAAGAATATTTCATCTAGATCGATGGAACTTCTAAAGTTTATCTTTACCCCTTTAAATACTCAATCTATCATAACAAAACATCCATCAAATGAGATCTCACAAGTCACAAGTAGTTCAGAAACAAAAAGTCGGGAAAACAGAATGATCACACTAGGGCTGAGGCCGTTGAAAATCAACCAAAAATGTTACAACTTTGTAGAAATAAAAATGGCAATTTGCTTATTAGAGTCAACAAGAAACACTTTGTTTCGAACGCCTTGTATGTCCAATACTTGTATTACACAAGGTCTCCTTGTTATAAGCTATGTCAATTAGAATTTTTGTTATCTTTTACTCCGTACATTATATATTCAATTGTCAAATTTGAATTTGTTTAAAACTTTTGAACTCATGTAATTTCTGAATATAAAATTTTTATTTAATCAAAATAATCTTATTATTAACACAGATAAGTTAACTTTATGGATTATCAAACATCGTAATCCGTGTGGGAACTTTTAAGTGAGACGCAGACAATATTATTTACTATAATTGTTTTTTATTGTTGTTGTTGTTGTTATTTACCATAAAAAACTAACAATAAAATAAATAAGTGAGTAAGTGATTAGGGAAATCAAAATCAATTACTCTGTATATTTTATGTATTAGATTGATTCTCAATCATTTGGATCCCCTATATTTTCATCCTTTATTAGTTTGGTAATATATTTTTATGCGTTAACCATTAAATGCTAACATTTAAGAACTGAATCGATATGATACTACAAAAAAATTATGGGATATATAGGCACAGATTGACGGATGATTTCGTGCCAAATAGTTCATTCTAAAGAGCTTTTGGTATGAATTTGACATATATCTCAGCCAAATCTTCTATGAATTTTGGCGAATCCCTGATAATCCCGTATTTTTGTAGTATTTATATCGTTTTTTAAAGAAAAAGTACGAGGTCTACTCCCAAGTCTCTCATTTGTGAGAGGTCTTGGGTTCAATTCCCAGCTAAGGGAGATGAAGGAGGTTTTGCTCCCATAATTCTCTCTACTTTCACGGAGTAGCTCAGTGGCCGACAAGGGAGAGGAGGGTAATAATGAATAGGGGTAGGCATATCGGTTTGGTTTAACCGAACCGAACTATACCAAACCGAACTAGAACGAATGGAAACCGGACCATATGCAATTTGGTTTGAGTTTGATATCATTTCTTCCAAACCGTATTAAACTGAACCGATCGAACCGATAAAAACTGAATCAAACTAAGGGAATTCAATAAATCTTTCATATATCATTAAAAAGTAACAAATCCAAACCGAACCAAAAAAAATAGTACGGAGTATGATTTTTGTTTGGTGAAATTCTTCTAACTCGTTCTAAACCGAATCGAGTACGATAAAATTTGAACTGAAAACCGATATGTTCACCCCTAACCATGGAGGTAACGGGTTCGTATGGTGGCATGAGTTCCCTAGAAGAGGAAAGTGATGTAAGTTCTGTTGAATGCCGTCCAACGAAACTGAATACGATCAGATCCGAACTTATGTGCCTAGTGACTTTGAAGAGTAATTCATAGACTACGGGGTTATGAGCGTGCAAGTCCCAATCTTCATTTGGGATCTAGACATCCGGTCGATCGAGGCCCGATGTGGGGGCCTGGAAGTTAAGTGATTTTACCTTTTGGAGTACCAAAGAGGTAATAAAATAAAGTTCAGGTGGTGTGTGGATCTTAAACCTGCATTAATTGGGACCCAAACACTTGGTGCTGAAGATACATACATGCATTATTGTATTGTTGTTTGCGTGATTGACGTTGAAATCTATCCTCTTTCTGTGTTTGTGTTCTCCTTTCCTTCCTAACAGATCTCTCCAAATCTTAATAACCCTAGTCTACTTGTACACTGAAAAAGACAGGTGGAACCCTCACCTCAATTATTCTATTATTACTAATCTTAGTTTTTTGTTTGGCTGTAATTAATAATCTTATTCACGTCGTTTAATTTGATTGATAATTAAGGTATAGCATCCGTTTTTTGAAGAAAAAATCGCTTATATTGATATCCTTAAAATGAGGATCTTTACATTAGTATTAAAGTGATCAATATTGACTACAGATCATATGTATGACATCTATTTAAATAATTGAGAAATTACGGAAGTTGAATTTGATCTATTTTTATAATCCTTAATGATCGGATCAATTAGTGAATTACACAAGTTACTACACACACTTTCAAAACAAAAAACAAGTTACTACACACAGATGTACACTCATTTTCTAAGGCAATATTTAATCAATCAATACGTACACATATACTACGGATTATTATATTGTAAACATATATTTGTGTACTTATGTACTATATATCACTTGAATAATCAATCAATGTTTGTACTGGAAATTAAATGTCAAATTTTAATGCAAAAAGTAAGGTGCTAGAGAAACTCGAAAATGTCAAAATGATGATATTAAACCTGTTCTTTCTCA